CCTCAAGAAACCCGTCGAATGATATCCATCATCGGGACAAGTCAAAAATGATTTATGTAAATAAACTATGAAACTATTCTACATACAACATACAATAAAGTATCCCCCACTCCACACTTAAAAAGATGGAATGTCCCCATGCCATACAAAATAAAGTAATGCGAGGTAAAGGAACTTCCCTGGTCGATCAGTCTTGATCGGAGATAGTGCCAGGGTCGAGATGATACGCCCTCCCCAGCGCACGCAGCCAGCCCATGATTTTCTTCTCTGATTTTGCATTTTGGGTGGCCAAGGCATCAACTCTAACCCCCAATTTCGTGATGGAAGTGCGAAGCCCTGATATGTCCTGTTCTAAGGCTGTCATCCGTATACTCCGTCTGACCTGGGATGGTCCTTCAGTCGCTGCAGCTTGTTCCTGTGGGGGTGAGGCAGGTTCAACCTCCTCCTACCCTTCATCGCCCTCCTCTGGCGCATCAGAATCGTCACTATGAGTTTCCCTAGGTGCCACCGGGTCTTTCCCGATGGTCACTTTGTCTGCCAGGAACTTTGTTTCTTTCTTCACAACGCATTCCGCTTTTGGGTTCTCAGGCACCCTTGCTGTCCGACACAATATCAGAGAAGGGAAAAAGAACCCATACCTCTTATGTGGTGAATGGACGAACATCTCAGTCTGAATAACCTGGGCCACATCAAAATCGTGGCCATTCACGAAGCACCAAATCAAGGCAGCTCTCGGACCATTTACCTCCGTGGTGTTATGGGACGGCAACAAGCGACTGTTGATGATTTACAACCAGCACTTTCCTTCAAAATTGAGTGAGGCAGAGTGTAGCTTCGATCCTGGCACAACCCACACTACCTCTTTGTCTGGTGCACAGATAGTTCTGAAAAACCTGTTCCATGTGATAGGTTCTCTCTTGTATGTATCACAGAAATCCTCCTCCCTATTGAATTCAGGCAATCGATACACCCTCCTGATGGCTTCTATCGAGGCATCCACCCTCGTGTGTCACACAACGCATATTCTATCCTTATGTTCGGGGCAGTTGGCATAGAACTCCCGGACAAGCATCAAGTTACCCTCCTCTGGCTCTTCGAAAAAGCTGTCCAACCTGTGCCTGATCAACTCCCGATACATATTAGGGCACTCATCCTGGAGGGACGCCCTATCAATACCCCTTTTCGGTATAGGTTTTTTAGTGGCCTTCAAATTGAAACAGTCTTGGGCAGCTCTCGAGACAAATCTGGTACGATCAATTTGAGTTGCACTGGCTGGTGCCCGTGCCCGGGATGAACCTCCATGACCACTTGACGAGGCTCTGGTGGTGCGTCTCTTCTTTGAAGGTGTCATGGTACCTATACAACAAACACTACTATCAGTAATCGGCGGAATATGGGAACCAATGGTGGTTACTTAGACTTCACTCGCACAATTGGTCACAATTTACATTCAAACTCATTGTGGCAATTCAACAAACACTTAAGGTGCATATATCCCCCAAGTTACCCAAAGCCCCAATTAAACTTCCATTCCTCACAAACTCTACAATGTTTTTCCCCAATTCAACCAAATCTATTAGCCTCCATGCCACATATATACTACAATCCTAAACCAAGACAAGAGTACCCATGATTCTACTATCCTACACATACAATTGAAAAAGAATGGGAAAAATAAAAAATTAAAAACAAAAAAAGAAAGAAAAAAAATACTAAGAAAGAGGAATATAATCATGTTACTTACTTGGAGATCTTGGGAGGAATGAAGATTGGGGATTGGTTGAGTGGAGAAGAGGAGGAAGGAGAAAAAGAAGAAATTTTGAGGGAGAGGGAGAGTGGGCTTGNGGGGTAAGTAAAAAAAATTAATTATTAGGAAAGAAAAGAAAAGAAGAGAAAAGAAGGGAAGAAAAAAAAATAATAACAAATTCTAAACCTGGTACCGCCTAATCCGCGGCCCAATCTGCGGCCGCGGATAAGGAACAGTGAGGGGGACAAAATTCGCTCCCCAATCCGCAGTCAAGTCCGCGGGCGTGGACGAGGAGGCAGTAGTCTGTGCTAAATCCGCGGCCTACTCCGCGGTCCAATCCATGACCGCGGATGTCGATCTCCAGCAAATTTTTGTCTTTTTCGCACTTTACCTATCTCCGGGTTAATTTCGTCCCCCGAATCCTTCCGATGCGCATAATTTTGTCCCTGCACATTAGTAGATCGGTCAATGCCATTCAAAATCAATTACAAAAATAAGAGTAAAGAAAAATAATGGGTTGCCTCCTAAAAAGCGCCTGAGTTAATGTCGTGGTACGGCGATTTACAACAAACCATGGGTTGCCTCCAAGGAAGCGCCTGATTTAACGTCGTAGCACGACGCATGCTTTTATTTTTACTCTTCGCTCGCGTATTGGGGCTCTTCCAAAGATATCACCACTCTATCCCCCTTTTCTTCGACCATTCCAAGGTAATGCTTCAACCTTTGCCCATTCACCGTGAACTTATTTGTCCCATCTCCGGATTCAATTTCTACAGCTCCACTTGAGAACACTTGCACTATTTTGAAGGGTCCTGACCATTGGGACTTCAACTTACCCGGAACAAATCTCAATCTCGAGTTGTATAACAACTCTAGATCTCCGGGTTTGAAGTTCCGATCTAGAATGTGCTTATCATGCATCATTTTCATCCTTTCTTTGTACAATCTTGCATTCTCAAATGCATGGAACCTGAATTCCTCGAGTTCATGTAATTCAGTGACTCTGCTGGTGCCTGCGGTCTCCATATCCAAATTCAACTACTGTAGTGCCCAAAGGGCTTTATGTTCGAGCTCTACAGGAAGATGGCATACTTTTCCAAATACCAACTTGTATGGTGACATACCAATTGGAGTTTTAAATGCTGTGCGGTATGCCCATAATGCATCATCCAGCTTCTTTGCCTAATCAGTCCTTGTCGCATTCACTGTTTTGGTCAGGACACTTTTGATTTTCCTGTTGGATACTTCAACTTGCCCGCTAGTCTATGGGTGGTACGGTGTGGCTATCTTATGGCGAACTCCATACTTTTCCAACAGTCGTGCGAACGCTCTATTGCAAAAATGGGTTCCACCATCACTGATTATAGCTCTCGGGGTGCCAAAACGTGCGAAGATATTTTTCTTTAGGAATCCTGTCACCACTTTTGCATCAATGGTTGGGAGAGCCACCACTTCGACCCATTTGGAGACATAGTCAACTGCTACCAATATGTATTTGTTACCATACGAGCTGACGAAAGGCCCCATAAAGTCAATCCCCTACATGTCAAAAACCTCCACCTCTTGAATTGTTGTCATCGACATCTCGCGACGTCGAAATATGTTGCCTGTCCTTTGGCACTCATCGCAACTTTTTACCCAAGCATGGGCATCCTTTAACAGATTTGGCCCATACAACCCCGATTCCAACACTTTTGCTGCTGTCCGGATTCCTCCAAAGTGTCCACCATATAGTGAAGCATGGCAAGCCTGCAAAACAGAAGATTGATCTTTCTCGGGGATATACCTCCGGATCATATTATCTACACATATTATAAAAAGTAGAGGTTCATCCCAATAATAAGATCGTCAATCGCGAAAGAACTTTTTCTTTTTAATTGAAGAGAGTTCATAAGGTACAATACCGCTTGCTAAATAGTTAGCAATATCAGCATACCATGGTGTCTCCTCTATTGTCACATCGAGTAACTATTTATCCGGGAATATCTATGTTATATCTTCAACCTTTATCTTCTTTTCAGCTCCTTCCAACCTTGAGAGGTGGTCTGCCACTTGATTGTCAGTCCCTTTTCTGTCATGGATTTCCAGATCGAATTCTTGTAGCAAAAGAACCCAGCGGATTAAGCGTGGCTTTGACTCCTTCTTTGCTATCAAGTACCTAATTGCTGCATGGTCAGTATAAATAATAAATTTTGAACCAAATAAGTACGACCTGAATTTGTCAAAGGCAAACACTACAACCAACATTTCCTTTTCTGTTTCGGTGTAATTGAGTTGTGCACCGCTGAGCGTCCTGCTTGCATAGTAAATTGGGTGCATCATCTTGTCTTTTCGCTGTCCCAAGACTGCTCCTATAGCATAATCACTGGCGTCACACATGAGCTAGAATGGTTGCTCCCAGTTGGGTGCAACAATGATGGGTGCAGTTACCAGTCTCTTCTTCAGCTCCTCAAATGCCAACGTGCAATCATTAGAAAACACAAAGGGATGATCCTTTTCAAGAAGTTTACATAAAGGGTTAGCAATCTTGGAAAAATCTTTTATGAATCGCCTGTAAAACCCGGCGTGCCCAAGGAAACTTCTCACTCCATTGACCGAAGTGGGCGGTGGCAATTTCTCAATCACATCAACCTTAGCATGGTCGACCTCAATTCCCTTACTGGACACTCGATGCCCCAAAACTATTCCTTCTTGTACCATAAAATAGCACTTTTCCCAATTCAGCACCAAATTTGCCTCCACACATCTTTTGAGCACTCTTCTTAAATTGTGAAGACTATCTTCGAATGAATCCCCCACCACGGAGAAATCATCCATAAACACCTCCATAATGTCTTCAACCATATAAGTGAAAATGGCTAACATGCACCGCTGGAATGTAGCCAGCGCATTACAAAGTCCAAAAGGCATTCTCCGAAAGGCAAAGATGCCATACGGACAAGTGAAAGATGTTTTCTCTCTATCTTCAGGGGCTATTGAGATCTGATTGTACCCCGAATATCCATCCAAGAAATAGAAGTGAGACCGCCCAGCTAACCTGTCAAATATTTGGTCAATGAAAGGCAAGGGAAAATGGTCCTTCCGGGTGGCTGTGTTCAATTTTCGATAGTCCATGCAAATCCGCCACCCCGTGACTGCACGAGTCGAGATCAAATCGTTATTCTTATTTTGTACGACCATTATTCCTCCCTTTTTCGGCACACACTGAACATGGTTGACCCAGTTGCTGTCAGAGATGGGGAAGATGATACCCTCATCCAGCCACTTGATCACTTCCTTCTTCACTACCTCTTTCATATTCGGGTTTAGCCGTCGTTGATGCTCTCTGAAAGGTTTATGCCCTTATTCCAAGAGAATCTTGTGCATACAAAAGGCTGGGCTGATACCTTTTATGTCTGACATGGTCCAACCAATGTTAGTCTTACATTCTTGTCACACCTGCAAGAGTTGCTCTACCTGCACAGCTAGCAAACCAGATGATATAATAACAGGCAAAGTAGAATTAATCCCTAAGAAAGCGTACCTGAGGTGAGCTGGAAGCGGTTTCAGGTCCAAATGTGGCGGCTCCTCTATTGATAGTTTTGTAGGTGGTGTTGCTCTTTCTTCTAAGCGTAAGAGCTCGAACTGAGGTTTCCTTTTCCAGAACCCTTGACCCTCGAGAGCCATGACCCACTCCACCAGCCCTTCACTATCCATCTCTTCCAAATTCATCAAACATACTTCTAGCGGATCCCCGACATTAAGGGTCTCATCCTTCTCTTGCAGTATCACATCCATGGCCTCCACTAGCGAGCAATTTGCAAATTCGCTGGGTCTCCTCATGGATTGTTGAACGTTGAATATTATTTCTTCATTGTTCAACCTCATTTTCAACTCTCCAGTCTTACAATCAATCAATGCTCTCCCAGTGGCTAAGAACGGCCTTCCCAAAATGATGGGTATATCTTCATCCACTTGACAGTCAAGAATAACGAAGTATGCAGGGAATACAAACTTCCCCACTTGAACAAGCACATCATCAAGAATTCCTGTCGGTCTTTTGACTGTGCGATCAGCCAGTTGCAACAACATTGAGGTCGGTCTAGCTCTGCCAATGCCAGTTTTGTATAAATTGCCAAGGGCATCAAGTTTATACTATCCCCCAAGTCACACAGTGCTTTAACAAAAGCATAACTCCCAATGGTGCATAGGATAATGAAACTACCTGGATCAGACACTTTTTGAGCCATAGGTCTTGTCACTACCGCGCTGCAGGTCTGCGTCAGAGTTACAGTAGACAGGTCCTAGAAGTCAAATTTTTGCGACATCAGGTCCTTCATCATTTTTGCATACCCTAGCATTTCCCTCAAAGCATCCAATGGAATATTTAATTGAATTTGTCGAAGCATTTCCATGAATTTCCTGTATTGATCATCGTTCTTTTGCTTTGCCAATCTCTGAGGGAATGGTGCAGGAATCAACCTCTGCCCACTGCTTGGTGTCTTTTCTTTGTTGGAAGCTTTTTCTACCACCTGTTCTGGGAGTTGTTCACCTTCCTTCTCCTTACCCTTGTCAACCTGTGCTTGTTCAATTACAACCTCAGTGAGCTCTGCTGACTCATCTGCCTCTAATGTAACTGGAGTAGTTGGCATATTCTCTCTTCTAGATTAAGCAACTTCTTGCTCTCTGTCTAAATCTCTTCTATTCCCGAGACTCACTGCCATTTGTTAATTTGGGTTCTGTTCCTTTGGGTTAATATTTGTATCTGCAGGCAATGTTTCTTGTGGGCGATTGTTCAAGGCCATAGGCAGCTGTCCCAATTGCGTTTCAATGCCTTTGATTGCCGAATCATGTGCTGCTAACTTTTCTTGCATCTTACCATTTGTCCCAATGAGTTATTGCAGCATGCCCCTGATTTATGTCATGTTGTTGTCCTGCTGTTGATGAGGTGGTTGGTAGGCCAACTGTTGCTGGTGCTGCTGATTATAGCCTTGTTGCCTTTGATAAGGCACGACTTGGCCTTGTGGTCGTGCGCTTCCTGGATTGGGGTTGTGTTGTGGCTGGTTTGGTCTGTACTGCTGGTTTGATCCTGGTCCCCATTGCTGCCCACCTTACCTCTAACCTCTGAAATTGTTGACATAATTCATGTCCTCTCTGAAGCCCTGGTTGTCATCCTCTCCACTCTACGAGCACACATATGACTAGTTTATGCAAGGAGTACACAAGCCTCCATTTGTTGTATCAATAATATGCACTTGCTTTGTACTTATCTCATCAATTTTCTTTGTCAGTAAGCTCATCTGGGTCATGAGAGTGCCTATGTTCTCTGCATTGGAATTGTTTGGGTCAAGAGCAACAGAATGCACTATTGGTGTAAGTGTCGTACATCTAGTCATCCAGCCTGAATTTTGAGCCATCTTGTCGAGAAGAATCTTGCATTCTGTGAACATTTTTCTCGAAAATGCACCCCCAGCTGAAGCATCTACATTGGCTTTCAAACTGTCTGCCAAACCCATGTAAAATCTTTGTCCCAACATCTGATCTGGAATGCCATGGTGTGGACACTTCACTAGCATACCCTTAAACCTCTCCCAGGTTTCTTACAAGGTCTTAGTCGGTTTCTGCTTGAATTGCAATATCTCATCAATTTGCCTTGCAATTTTGTTAGGAGGATAAAACTTGTTTAAGAACTACTTGACTAATTCTTCCCAAGTAGCAATGGAGTTTATTGGGAGCGAAAGAAGCCAAGTTTGAGCCTCTCCAGTCACTGAGAATGGGAACAGTAATAGCTTAATTGTTTCAGGAGTCACATTCGGCTGTCTTTGAGTCACACAAATTGATAAGAAGTTATTCAGATGTTGTTGTGGGTCTTCGATGTATGACCCGAAGAACAGTCCCTTATTCTGCAACAGGTGTAGCATGTTGTTGGTAATCTGGAATATCTCCGCTTGTATCTGAGGAACAGCAATGGCGGTGACTAGGTTATCAGCAGTTGGATGTGCCCAATCATAAAGAGTAGCTTCCGACACAAGAGGTGCCACCACTCCATTGTTTGGGTCAACACGATCATTCTGATTGTTTATGTTGATGTCGTCTACGTTGTCCATTTCACCTTCGAGTTGGTCTTTTTGTTTTAGTTGTTTGTTCTTCTTGTTGGCCCGATTCAATGCCCTGAATGCTTTCTCGGGGTCTGAGAGTCTTTCAAAAAGTTCACCAGTCCTCAGAGAGCTTCTAGGCATACACCTGAGTCACAGAAGAGTTCAAACGTGAGAATTTCAATGGAAAATTTTTAACACCGTAGGGAATTGATCTAAACTAAGAATCCTAAAAATTCTTCTAAGTTGTAATAAATAACACCATTAGTTCCCCGGCAACGGCGCCAAAATTTTATCACGCCCAACTATGCCTTGTAAAAAGGACTAAACGGTCGCTGCAAATATAATCCGGTTCAAGTCCGGAGTCGAATCCCACAGGGAATTAACCTATATACTACAACTTTTAACAATGCTAATGATAAACTCAGACAATTTTCGGATGCAAGAATTTTAATAGAGCATAAGTGGAATTTATTTATCTAATGAAAAATGACAACAAAATTAGCAATAATCAAGAATAAGGTTGAATTCAAAGGTAAAAGGATCTAGGGCTATTGATTTCCCCAATTGCCGGACTAATTCCTGATATGTTAGCTATAATCTCGCCGTAATACTCTATGAGGATTATGAGTTACGGGCTACCGTAATTATCTCTCGATCAATTATGATAATTTACTAGAAGCATTCTCTCGAACTACTCTAGTTAACAATTTATGCAACTCAGAATTATCTCACCAAAGCTTCGTTATCTCTAACCTTGCTTTTAAATTCAAGTAATTAATCTCTTAACTTACCCGAAAGTGGTGTTATTCAACAACAATCTAACCAAGTGTTCTTTCTCAAGCAACATAAGATACTAGACACGATTAATCAAGGGCCCTTTTAATTAATCACAACACAACACATAGTTGAACAATCATAGAATAAGAACGTCTCAATTATATTTAAACATAGTCAAGACTTCATCCAACAATTGGTTCCATCAACCCTAGATGATGGGTTTAGCTACTCATACTAATGGATAAAAATTCAATATAATAATTCATAATCAACAATGGAAGTAAGAAGAAGAAGATGAAAACTCTTAGGAAATTCTCCGTCTTCTCTCTCTTGTTCTTGCCTCCAAAATCTCCCAAAAAACAGCTCTCTTTCCTTTTGGGCGAATTAGGCTTCATATAGGTTTAGGTTAGTCGTCTTAGAAATTACATAATTACCCCTGAATTGTTGGCCTCCGTCCGCTCATCCGCGGATTCGACCGCGGATCCGGCCGCGGATTTCAGCCAGTGTTCTGCCTCCAGTGCGCGGTCCAATTCGTGGTCAACTCTGCTGCCACGCACCTGGAGGGGACCTCCCCGCTTGCTTTTCTCGCTCCTTTTCGACCGGGCCAACCTTCGATTGGCCTTCCACACTCCATATTGACTCCAAAACACTCTTTAGCTTCCTCCTAGCTCGGAGTGGCTCCTGCAAAGCATAAAATTATTAATTAGAGCATTTTGTTATCTTTTAGCATTCAAATATCAATAAAGTGCGATTAAATTAGAGTATAAATAGTGTCTAAATTACATAAATATAGCCTACTATCAAATAAATCGTACTATTGGTGACTATTTCTCTATGCTTAACCCCATAACGTAAAGATTTTGTATTATGTTCCATTTAGTCTTCATCAGTTTCTGTAGTTTTAGGCTTTGACAAATTCAATTTTAAATCTTTGTCGTCATCAGTCGTCAGTTTAGTCTTTGATTAGTTAATCTAAATCATGTTTAATTAAGTGTACATAAGTGTCTGGCAAATTGAAGTTCGTCATGTTAGCAAGCAATTACAATTAGTTAAGATAAAGCATGTTACTTAACGTGGCAATTTTGCTAGCTAATTAATTTACAGATAAACAACTAGTATAAATTTTCTGTATTAATCTTGTCCCTTTTAGTTACTAGGTTTTAAATTAAATATTTATATATAATCAATGGATTTGTTAAGAAAATATAGAGTTTGGACTAAAATTACTGCGTTCAGCCGAATTTCTACTCCTTTTTAGTTATAGGGTTTTAAATTAAAAATTTGTACATAGTCAATATATTAAAAAATACAGGGTTTAAACAAAAGTTACTGAATTCGGCCGAAGTAGTAACGTGCACACTAGCTCCGCTCCGGTATATTTGGCAACCTATACCATTAGATCGAAGAAATGTTTGTTGAGGGGCAAGCATTTTAGGTGATGGATTGTTAATGACCATCACTAACCTCTTGTTAAGAATAAATGGCTGTGGTTATAACTAGTTTTTTTTTTGTTTTTTTTTTATTTTTTTATTTTTATAATACTAAAGTAGAACTATTAGTAACAAAATCTTGCTGTTGAGTCAACAGCTAATTGTCAAAAGGAAAAAAAGGTTTATATTCAAAAGTTTTAAATTCAACTGTTATAAATAAACTGCCGTGTACTTATTTTGCACATATTCTAACAAAAAATATCACTTTTTCTAGAAGTTAATCATACTTCAATTTAGGACCTCTTATCGCCTATTACACCCTTGATTTTGATAGTCTTTTGTTGTTTTTTCTCAATAATTGAGCATAAGATTTTTTGTCTTTTACATTTTTCTTAGAGTTTTCCCTCGTAGAAAAAAGATTAATATTGACTTTGGATCTTGCAAGACTGAACGGTAACTAAATGTGGGTTTCAAAATTAAGTTGGAAATTATATACATATCACAAAATCCACTACCAATTTCTGAAAGACGTGTTTGTTTACTTGTAAAATTGTTACAGTATTTTATAAGATGGAAACTTATATTCGACAAATAAATCTGAACCACCCCCTCCTCATCCCCAATAAAATTAAATTAGACACGCATATGAACGTCGTAAATTAAAGGACAACTCGATGCGCAAAATATTTCGTATTCATGCAGGATCCGAGGAAGAGTCGTATCCTCAGAAGTGTGATGTAAACAGTCTATCTTAATTCAAGTACTAGTGACTACTTCCATGACTCGAAACAAGATATATAAGTCATACGGAAATAACTTTACTGTTACTCCAAGCTTGTGAGTGAAACAAATTTGTGATGGTTCATTTCATTTAGTCATTAGGTGGGCTCCAAGCTAATGTAGAGAAGGAGATATATTGTCGACAAGATCATAAATCAAAGATATGGTAAATGATGAACAGCAATCCTACGTACGTAGATTATATTGTCTTGTGGTGTATATTTGAAATTGGATGTTTTCCTAGGTAGACAAATTAACCTGAATTATGAGCCAATGATATAGATATTGTCCCCTTTTATTTTCCGTTTGACTTATAAGTAAGAGCTCAGAATGGATGGCCATACTGCATTTCGCACCGTCATTTTAATGGAATTATACACTGTTAATATTAAAAGTTTTATACTATCAATATTTTTAAAAATAAATTATAGTAATAAACTAATTTATTTTTAAGTTATCAAATCAAAATTACGACAGACAATTGTTTGTTCGTAGATCATCTTAACATGATGGTATAAAAAAAGAAAATTACATATATAGACACTACTATTTTTTGACAAAGATGTT